GCTACCTGCCTCTTCATGCCTCGCCATCAGAAGGACTTCCTCAGGTCCTGATACATCTTCGTGCTACCAGGATGGATGGTGTACGGGGCACTATGGGCCTCCTTCAAAATCTGCCTCCGCAGCTCCCACACCCTCGGAACACAAAGTCTACCCTCGAAGACCAAGGCTCTATCGGATGCGACTGCGAATCCACCAACTCTACCAGCTATTGACAACTCCCTCATCCGGCACAAGAAACGGTCATTCGGTTGCTCGGCGACTATCCTCTCCCGTAGGGTCGGTCCTACAACCAAAGAGGCCAACATGCCCCCGGCTGCTGAGGTCGACTCCACTGTCTCTAGCCGCAATCGCTCGAACTCCCGAAGAAGAACATCCTGCCCGGTAAACAAGCAGGAAAGCTGGCCATAACTCCTCTGACTAAGGGCATCGGCTACTACATTAGCTTTCCCAGGGTGATAGCTAATGGTGCAGTCGTAGTCCTTGACCAGCTCCAACCACCTACGCTGCCTCATGTTCAGCTCCTTCTGAGTGAAGATGTACTTTAGGCTCTTGTGATCAGTAAAGATCTCGCACTTGCCTCCATAAAGGTAGTGCCGCCAAATCTTCAAGGCGGGGACAACAGCAGCTAACTCGAGATCATGAGTGGGGTAGTTCTGCTCGTGAGGCTTCAGCTGCCTCGAAGCATAAGCTACGACTTTCCCTTGCTGCATGAGAACACAACCCAGGCCCATCTTCGAAGCATCACTATAGATGGTGAACTCCAAGGTAGGGTCGGGTATGGATAGGACAGGCGCGGTAGTGGGTCTCCTCTTCAACTCCTGGAAACTCTCCTCGCACTGAGCACTCCAATCGAACCTCACGGCCTTCTTCGTAAGGTTGGTCAGTGGCTGGGCTATCTTCGAGAAGCACTCGATAAACCTCCTGTAGTATCCTGCTAACCCCAGGAAACTACGAACATCTGCGGCACTTCTTGGCGTATCCCATTTACTCACCGCCTCAATCTTGCTGGGATCCACCTCAATGCCTCGAGCTGTCACAATGTGGCCAAGGAATGCCACACGGTTCAGCCAGAACTCGCACTTCGAGAACTTAGCATATAACTTCTCGCGGCGAAGAGTCTCCAGCACAATCCTCAAATGCTCCTTGTGCTGATCCATATCTCGGGAATAGACCAAAATTTCGTCGATGAACACGATGACGAACTGGTCCAGGAAAGGATGAAAGACCCTATTCATAAGATCCATGAAAATGGCCGGGGCATTACTGAGTCCAAAAGGCATGACTACGAACTCATAGTGGCCATATCGGGTACGGAAAGAAGTCTTGGAAATATCCGACTCCCGGATCTTCAGCTGATGATAACCAGATCGCAAATCAATCTTTGAGAAGACGCTGGCTCCTCTCAGCTGGTCGAAAAGGTCCTCGATACGGGGAAGGGGGTACTTGCTCTTGACTGTAAGGGCATTCAACTCCCGATAGTCAATGCACATGTGCATAGATCCGTCCTTCTTCTTCATGAATAGGACGGGCGGACCCCACGGCGAAACACTCGGACGAATGAAACCGAGTTTGAGAAACTCCTGAATCTGGGCCTTGAGCTCTTGAAGCTCCTTCGGCGCCATACGATAAGAAGCCTTAGAAACGGGGCTGGCTCCTGGAATGAGGTCAATGGTGAACTCCACCTGGCGGTCTGGCGGTCCTC